AGACGTCTAGAATGCCAGTGGAATGATTCTTTCTTTGGGTTCTCCACTCCTGAAACTCTCTCCCAAACTCAGTTGTTACCTCCCCACCTTGAATGTTTTCCAAAAAAGCGGTTGGATGGAGCCCTACGCACCCAAAAATTGCTGACTAAACTGTGCTACCTTAGAATATATTAAGTATACCACCATACGTGATTTATATGTCGTATAAACCTAAGTAGGCGATAAATGAGTAAATAATCTTATCTTTAATTTTCTCACGGAGTACATCAGCTATAAGTACCACATGTGATCATGTTATTTATCTGCACTGTCCATCTACATAACTGCTATTCAGAAGCGCCTTTGCTTGATGAACATTCAAACAGAAAACCCACCAATTTTTGATATTGTAGTCTTACTCCTATATCTTGTGAGACTTTGCAAGCAATTGCTTTCCACCCGTGTTAAATCGCTAGTTATTGTTCATTGTTTAAGCTGTCTTCTTTGAACATCTTAAAAGTCAGCCAGTTATAGTTAGAAACTTGGAAAACACGTTGCTTACCTTAGAGCAAATCAGTCTTTGTTTGCAAAACTTGTTAAACGTTATGAGTGAAAGGTAAACAAGAGTTGACTAGGCTATAGAGTAGGTGGATCTGTCTGAATGGGCTGGAAACAGGAAAGTTAGTCAACGCCTAAATTTTCTACGGTGGATCTTCAATACCGTTGGAGGTGGGTAACTTATGGCCACGATGATGCCTTGGTCAAGTTCACATTCGTCTAGGTTGACGGTAATCCCATATTGCTCAATATTTCGAAACTTGCTTGCGGTTGTTTCATGTTTTTATCGACATAAAAGCTGACAATGTGTATGTCATCGAAATAGGAATAAATACCTTCAGAGCCAAATGTAACCTCATGGATGGAATGTTGAAAAGTCGGGTCAACGTTGCCAAGGCTGAAAGGTATTCCGAATTAATCAGAAAGACCACATGGAATAAGCACAGTAAGGTTAATTATGTCTTCTAACGCCACAGATAGTTGATGGCAGCAGCGCACAAATTCTGTTTCGCTAAAGATTCACTTATCGGACCGAGCTAAATTTAGTCAGTGTAAATATGAGATTGGGCACTTAGCTAAGACGGCCTTTTTGTGTACCATATTGTAGCCATCACAGGCGCATTAGTGCTCGGGTCTCTTTGGTACCATGTGCCACAGTAATTCCCATGAATTTTCGGGCATGTGCATAACTCCAAGTTCGCATATTTAATCATATTATGCCGTATTCGCTTTAACTTGTCTGGGCCTGTCTGAGGAGGCAGGCCGAATCATGTAGTTCCCCAGCGCAGATATGGCACATAAAGTTGGATTTCGTGAATTAGTTGTTCTGAATGCAAACAATCATAGGATGCTGGTCTATAAAAGGTTGTGAAGCTTGAGGCGCATCACGAATGGGAGTAATCGCGCTAAACTTGGCGGTAGTCACAATAACCATGAGCTGTGCCCGAAGGCCAATTAACGAAAGTATTTTAATATTAAGGATAAGGTCTTACCGTTGGAGTAAATTAATAATAATAACAATAATACGTATATTTCTCATGATGCGTAAAACTGTGACCGAAGCAACACGAAACAATTTGTACCAAAGTATCCATGCTCATGCATGGGCGATATGCGTAGGTGGAAGGTTGGAGCCTTCGTTTGATGTAGTTACATTCTGGTGGGTGGTTAAGGCGAAGCCTAGAGGTGGCAACTATGGTGTTTAGCTGTTTGGGCCCCACTTGGAGTAGCTCATCGAGGGATTTCAATTTGAAAGTACTATTTGAAAGTACTCTCCAAGTAACCAATTATAGATCAAGTTACTTGGAGAGTCTGCTTCCAAATGTTGCTACATTTTCACATAATCTACGTGTGATTGGTAATTTTCCACTGATAGCTCTCTCTAACAAAGAAGAAATTAGTGCAATTGTTTGTTCAAGCCTTCGGTGTATGCAATGTACAAGATTTATTGCGGAGCGCTCGATTTTACCTACGTTGTAATTCGGGTGTGGACATATCGGAAAATGTCTTCGTGTGTGGCAGGTTAAAAGCAGCAACTAGGAGCGTTTGAATCGTTGAATCAAACATGGTTCGAATTGAAGTTCGTTGCAACGTTCTCCAGAACTCAATGCGGAGTGCTTGCAAATCAGTTGTTAACAAACGACCTCTACAAGTACATCACAGCAATTCTGTCATTCTCATATTATATGTACTATGCTTCAGTATTCGTGCATGGGGCAGGTGAGTAGCTTGAAAAGCACAGCTTCAGCAAGAGTAGTGTGAATTTTCCTGGGTATATTAAACCTAGTTTGTCGGGCACGTGCTGCTTGGAATTGGGTCTGTTCGGAGAAACTGAAGGCAGGTGAGTACCTACTTCCAAGTACACAAGTGGACGGCTGTGTAAGGACGCGTTCTTTGTTTAGCACGATAGATTCTTCAGGGATAGAGCAGTCGTAAGACCTAATGCTTGATTTCTTAGTCGAAAGTTTCATCATCCATATGTGTCAACGTAACAAAATAGAATATAAGCCATCTTAATTGATCAGTAGCGTTACAAGAAGTATGTCACACCCAAGCTGATGGACAATCTTGCCATCATCACAAAGTTAAGATGGCCGTTCATATTCCACAGATGCGGCGATGTCAATGATCAAGCGTTGAAACATTGGAGAACCGAGCACGATCCCTTAGACAATACCACAAGTGATGGGGCGTGGAGAAGAGCCATAGTCACCTAGATTGACTACCTGATGACGAACGTTCAGGTACGATGGTAGCCAATCTAGTAATGGGGCCCGGATCCCAAGGACCTACAACTTTTAAAACAACCACTTGTGAAGTATCCGTCGAACGCTTAGTGTACGTCCAGAAACAGAATTACCACCGCATAACCGGAATCAATCGATTATGCAATGTAGTTCAGATAATACAGATTTGAAGTTGGTGCACGATCGTTTGCTAAGCAAATCACGTGAATTATTTACCAGGTCTAAAGAATCGACAAATTTCACTATCACCTTTCTGACCAATTTTTCAAATAGACGAGCGATTATTGGTCTGATGCATTGGTCGCTAGTCATCAATCGTTTGTTTGGGATTTTCTTCGTGCCAACGCAAGATAAATGGCGTTTTTCCACTGATCAGGCAAGTAGTTAGATTCCAGCGATAAGGCGAACATTCTCAGCAGGGCCAGAGATATACCAGGTCCTCCAGGTTTAACAGTGTTTTCTTAAATATCATCACGCTGATGGGAGGGGCTTAACTGATTTTATAATTTGGCGCAAACTATTGAGCAATTTTTCAATTCTGTTTGAAAGGTTTGTTTTTGTAACCTCAGTGGGCGTAGGCACAAACTCGACTTCGCGAATTATGGAAGCGACAAGGAATTCACTGAATGCTTCACAGATTGCGGCTGGGTCATGAGGTTTATGGCCCACACAGTCAATCGTTTTAGTAATTAGAGGAGAGTGCTCACTTGGTCTGCGATGCAGTATATGTACAAGCTCTTTCCCCTGGCAGCATTTTTCGTAGTGTTTCAGAGATCATTCCTAATGAGTAGTGGGGTTTCAGCATAATTGTATAGGTAAACTCTCGTAGTTCCTTCTCAGTCAACAGCCTTTAGTGCATGCAGAAAGCACCACACAGCGCTGTTTACACTTTCTGGGTCTCGTCAGTAGTGCGCCTTCCTGGGACCCTTGCCGGGTTCCGAGTCTATGAATTCGCGATGACAGAAACTTGTGCCACTAAGCCATAAGTGATGGCCGTGGAGATTCATGACTGACAGTTGACTGCGATATAGCCCGGTTCGTTCTCCACTGCTATGTCAGTTATGATCTGGGTCGCGTTAACTGCGTATGCTTGCATTTGGTGGTAAATGGGCGTATTCGTAAGCTCAGGTCAAGTTGTGGGTCCTCCTGTATCTTCAGATAATTTCTGGTTTCCTGGCTACTTGAGGGTGCAAGTGGTATCTTTGGAGAGAGATAAGGACTACGATCACGGCCAATAGTGAACGCTAGCAGTGGTTAGAGAGCGCAGATCAAATGTAGGGATGCTTGTACTTGTTACAGTAAAGTTCCACCTTATGGCCAATAAGTAAAACAATACCGATGGACGTTGCTAGCAAGCTAGAGGACGCACGATGCAGCCTGACATGATGAGTCAACAAAGTGCCAAAACGAAGGCACTGTTTGACTCAAACCATCGCTCTTAACACACAACGCAACATTTCTAACTGAGCGCCTACTTGTACAGTAAGTTAGTAATTTTAGCTAGGATTGTACTTAAAGTATTCATACAAACCAGCGGATTCTACAGACTAGTGTACAAGCATTATTGTAATGTCGGGGTTCCAGCATGGATATTACGCAAAACTTGTAGGATCCTTCAGCGCTATTGCAAAGCTGCGACCATCGGTTTCTCATTAACTTAATCGATGGATCCACAGATAAAGTCTGGATGCGTAGTTACTTTGCGGGGTGCAATTTTCGTATACATATTTGCACATAATTTAACAACAAACGAGTCCTATCTATGCCTGGTGCTTGCCTAATGCTTAGCAGTGATAATGCAGTACTTCATTTGCCAAGTGCTGTTAAAATAACGTAAAAATACGTTAAGCTCACTTGGTCTCTTAGGTCTGGGTTCGTTAAGTTTTATTTTATCAGTTCGCTCCCACTTATGGAGCCGTGTACCGTCCGTCGGTAAATATACAAATTTATTTATTTATTTATTTACTTACTAGGCTAATCAAAACATTGGTCTTCTTCAGCGAACACTCACGTTTTCAGCCATAAGCTAATAGCTCATTGACTAAATGTCGAAATGTATATTAGTATTATATAACGATAGACTAACAAACAATTTTTCAACTGATAGTCACGCATAAACGACAGTCTGCAGCTGAGTTAAGCAGTTGTTATAAAAAGTAATTGCTACTTTTTGTTTATTCTTAGACATTACTCATTCAACTTCGGTAAATGCTTCAGTTACAGCCCCAATTTTTGAACATTTTCCGGTGCAGAAGAGTTGGTGAAGAACGAAGTTCTCGGACTGCACGTATCTCAGTTGTCAAGCTGGAACTATTTTGCCAAACTCAGGAATCAACTCAAGTCAACGACTCCCGTCAATCCTTGGAATATGCTACGGTTTTACAAAGACGGGATGGTCAGTGCGTATATCCTGTTCAGCTCAGACGCAGAAAACTATTCTATGGTGAGCCATTTAATAAAATCCTATTAACCGATGGCATCCTTTTTGAACAATTATCTATTTAAAATTGCTGCCAACGCCAGTTACTGGTAAAACCCCATAATCTGAATGACTAATTGAGAAAATATTAATAATGAATGAGCTTTAGTTCTGAAAATGTTCATGAGCCAACTCAAGTAAAATCGTGAACAGTACTAAAACTTAGGATAATCCATTAAGGCTGCTTCTTGATGACTCAGTAAACAATTATTTGTCTTCATGAACCAGCAAACACAAGTCTTGCTTCTTGGCTACAACCCACGTATCCTACAATGGCATTCTCTGCAGGGAGTTAAATGCAGTACGTGTGGGCTGAAAATGGAACTTGCAGTTACGGTAGAAGTGTCGTTTGAGTCAAGGGTGATATCATGACGCTGAATAGATTGCGAAAATAAAACTATTAGTCTGAAGATGGAAATTGCCCATGGAAACAGAAGGGTACTGTGGCACCAAATCAGCAGATCTGACTGACGCTGAAAGCATTAACTTAAGTTTGTCTGATGTTTGTCTGGTGTCTGTCTAAGCACACTATAGATGGAAGTGTTTAAGGGTTTCCCGCTCTAAAATCATCGGGGTGCAGCTTACTCAATTTAAGGGGATAGCCGCTGTTTGGCAGGTAACCTACCAGGACTAATTACTTAAGACAATTTTAGAACGACTTTTCCAGTTAAGACACGGTAAATCCCGGTCAGGACGTCTCGAACTCTACTGCTGTGCTTTATTAATTCGCAAAACAATGAGGTGTTGGAACTAAGTCCGGCCCTCTGATTCATTGTCTACGAATTTATAACGAGCAAGACCGTGTGAGGGATCCTACGTGCAGCATCTAACGGGAATCCGAACGAAAGCCAAGAAAAGCTTCAGATGGGTAGCGTTAAAAGGTTTGCGAAGAAACAGCATATTGCCTTCATTGTATACGAACCCTTGCAGCTCGCGGCGATTTCCTGGTTGCATATATAAGAACATAACTGCCAAAGGAACTAGTTTGGGGAGAAGTCATAGTAATTCATGCAGACTATTGCCTTGACAGAACAAAATTGCTCTAAATAGTAAAACAGAACACTTGCTGTCTTTTAGACAGTAACCGAAAGGTATTCCAGTCCAAGAACTTACTTATGATACCTTGAATTGTATTGTGATGTTCAAATATCACCAAACGCTATACATAAACCCAGTTTGTTTGTAACTAATAACGATATTGCCCCAGACTTAAAAGGCAGATACACAGCAACAAACAATTGGTCGAGAAAAATAGAGCCCATGTTGATAAAACTTCACCTAAAAGATAGGTTTCGACTGACGTGAAACAGATATTTCTCTTCATCTAAAGATGCATACACATCTTAAACTCCACGAGGAATACAATAAGGTCCTTGCTCTTATGGTGGCTATACATGCAACGTTATGTCAAAGGTTATGTGAAGATCAACGGACGGTAGGTTGGGAAAATGACTACTGTCCACACTAACAAACCATATTCTACGGCCGGCAAATAAACAAACAACGAACTTGTATCCTCACTGTGTTTAACTCCCCAATTCCTGACCCTCCCTTATCTTGCATACATGGCTGCTGCCATTCGTAACCACCCGAAGTTATTCCGTCAGATACGTGAACCGGGCGGAAGGAGACCTGGTGTTAGCCAGACCGCAGTCTGTCTGGCATATGGTCGGACAATTTGAAAAACAACTGTTTTAGCCCCAAGTATCAGCTCATTCGTCGGCCTTTGTGCATCCAAACCCACATTCAAGAGCTAAAAGAGGAAAGTGGGATAAGACCGAAGCAATCAACTACGGCCACAGAAGTCGTTAATATTCTTCTGGCTATCTTCAACTTCGGAGTACCTACTTTTATAGAAGAGTTACACAAGTTAACTAGCGAAACTGCCAAAACAGGTAACTATCCCCGCAGACTATAGCCACCCCGTTACAGTCCATATTTTAAGGGGGGCTCACGTTCGGAATGTGTCAGTCATGAAGGAAACATTTTCATGCTCATCGACATCAAGTTAGTTGCTTCTGTCAGCCTTCACACATTGACTGGCATACTTGAAAGCTAGATACTTGAGGAGCAAGTCGGATTTCCTCCAAGTCGGAACCACATCGATAATATGTTCACTGTACATCAATTGTTGGAGCACAGTCACATATACTAATGCCCACCGTTGTCTTGTTCCTCGACAAAATTGATGCCCTTTGGAACAGCCTGGCAAGGAAAGATTTATCTGAGCAATAGCTAAATATTATCCTTGGGCTTTATGCGCGTACCTTGGGCAGATTTGAGGCTTCTGGCAATGTGTCGCCCTCCCTTCAGTATCTCCAGCGGTGTGAGACAAGAATGCCTGATGTCACCATTCCTCTTCAGCTACTCTACTGAGGAATTCATGGAGATCGTGTTTACATGACACGACTTAGGAGGTGTGGAGCTGATCCCAGGAGAAGGACTTCTAGACTTAGAGTATGCTGATGGCATCTCCCTCATCGGTGGTAGCTCCCAAACGGGCCAAGCTGCACTCGACATATTAGCACTGGCCATCTGCCGTTACGGACTTTGCTTTTCACCCTCAAAGTACAAAGCTTCCCTCCAAAATTGGCAGTAACCGTCTCCTGCACTTACCCTTGTTGGCAATAAGCTAGAAGTCGTTAAAAAGTTCAACTATCTGTGCAGTTGTATCAGCACTTGTGAAATCGCAGACGAAGTCACAAACCGTGTATCAAAGGCTTTAAGCGAGCTTGCTAATTTTCGCCACCTATGGCACCGGCGCGAAATCAATATATTCCTGAAGGGTAGAGTGTTCAATTCAGTCCTACTTCCGACTCCACTGAACATTTGTAAAACATGGCCCATTAGGTCGGTGGACATGACGAGGCCTGTTACGTTCGATCAACAGTGCCTACGCAGTTTGATTCATTGCTAGTGGGAACAATGTGCAAGCAATGAACGTGCTCGACTCCTTGTTTTTGGCATGCAAAGAGGAAGTAAACCTCGCAGCACAGTTGCTTCACGCACCAGGCACCGATGGCTGGGCCACGTGTTGCGCATGTTGTGTGTTGTTAGCGCGCCGGGGGTGTGGATGAAAAGAAAGGAGGGGTGGCCAACTGATGACTTGGTGGGTGGGTGACTCGGTGTTCCCTGGAACACGTTTAGCGGGATAAACTCACTAATATAGCCAGGAACCGATCTCATTGGCGTTTGTGTTGTGTGTTTGTTTGTGCCTTCCCAGCTGCTTAGCACCCCGCTCCAAACAATGTCTCATCTCCTAGGCATAATATAGCGTTGTACGCATAATATTTGGCTAGTAGCTTTCCAGAGTGATGTGTATCCGTTACTGGTGGCTCAACCCGCGTGCCTCTGTTAAATGTTACGGGCTTTCCTTCCTCTTTACTTATATACTGCGGTATAAAAGTTGAGGTGCAATCCAGCTCTAGGGTATATGTATAAAGGCAAATCTCCTATTCGCCAATCACAGTCAAACTTGCCATGGCGACTACCTGTCTAAGGCGACCGGTCAAAAATAGCCCCCACGATTTTCTTATAGTTTCTCATGGGTCTTAACTTGTCTATGGAGTCCACGTGACTAACGCAACCGTGAAGAAGCTTTTCGGGTCCAAAGGCGTTCTAGCATGCAATCAAGGCGACCAACACTGGCACAGCTGACCGGAATTGCGAGTAGAGGTGTCACCAAAGTCTACCACCGTATCTCACAGATGGCATAGATTTCGTTTCAAGGTGTCACACTTGACCTAGAAACCACACCACATGCCTCTATTATAATGTCGAGCTATAGCACAACCCACTCCGAACGGAAAGCAAGAACACACCGAGCTGGGACGAACTGCATTAAAAACGGACATAACTGAGCAATTGGGAATACACAATGATCAATACAATTAGTCAGCCAACCACATGCAAGGACACGGTCATGAATGGTGAGCGGTCTAACTCAGAACGACTGTCGCGCGTGTGTCGCACACAATCACGTGACAGGACAGTCATGAATGTCAAACGATCAAAATGCGAACGGCTGTTAAGCGCGAGCCCATCTAATACCTACTTCCTGATGCAGAGGCTGAGCGCGTCAAGGTCATGTTACACTACCTAGCCTGTGGAGTCGCATTGTGCGCGCTAGTGCGTGAGTGTACATCTCCCGACAAACCAGTGACGCCTATTGATTGGTTCAAAAAGAGTGTGCTTAGCTAAAACGTGTGGACTGCAAAACTAAACAGTTGATGTCTACCCAGTGTGGACTGCCGATGTACCATTGCCCTTACTTCTACTAAACTTCCATTTACAATACTGTTGTTCTGATTTCGGTTGAGTGTAACAATTTGGCGACGGGGGTTATTCTGATTGCTTATGGCAAATTCAATAACGGCACCCCAACCCTTTTGGAATTCTTCTACTGAAAGGCCTACTGCGCAACAATGGTTGCAGTGGAAAACTACATTTACTAACTACGTTGATTTGCTTTTGCTCCTTGGCGAAATTGCACGATTGATGATGCAGCGAAAATTAAATTATTACACCACCATCTAGGCATCCAGGGCCAGCGACATTTCGACAGTTTCCAATTACATACGAAGCGAGACCTAAAAACTGTGTTCTATTCCCTGGACCGAATATGGGGGGAAAAGCCCCATGTGTTTACTGCTCGGTATAAATTCAGCACCATGCGACAACAACCAAATGAGACTGTAAATGAGTTTATCTCTCGTCTCCTTACTGCTCTCCCTGACTGCGCCTATGATCAGATCCTTACAGCCCAGTTCGAAGAAGCGATGCTGTTACAGGCATTAATCGTGGGTGTTTTCGATGAGGAGGCACGAGAACGTCTGCTCTCCGAAGATGAAACGCTACTGACATGGCAGAAAGCATGTGATATAGTCCGACAGCGTGCCAACCTCGTCCAGGAACTAGCCACATTTCCCTCTTCAAATCAATCAATCTCACATGACGTAAACAAG